AAAATAGGATCATCATCGTTGATCAAGTCACATACCCATCCATCCATCTCCAATGCTTTTTGGTTTGCTAGAGCTGAGAGTTCCTGTCCAAGGTTGCACTGATTTAAAAAACAAACCAAACCCCAAGATGCCAAAGCACACACAGAGCTGTGTCACCGTGCAGGGGACGATCCCGGCTCCCCCGCTGCGTTTGGCTCCGCCGGTCGTTCAGTAGTGGAAAGATTGCGTCCTTCCTTCCCAAGGCACGGGTCAGGCAGAGAGGGATGAGCCGTGGAGGTGCGACCCCTCCTCAGCGGCGGGGGGGGGGGGGGCTGACGAGGATGCGGGGGGCTGCGGTGGAGCAGTTGTGCTGCCGGTAGTGCTGCAGCAGCCGCTTCCACAGCGGGTTGCACTCCAGGAGGTACTGGTTCCCTGGGGGCACAGGGACGGGGACAGCGGGTTAATGGCCAGAAGAGGCTCGGATGAGGCTGTCACTAAACTTTTGTCTGAACATTTCTAGCCTAAGGGCGCTGGATAACCTGCGGGGACGTTTCCTTTGCCAGAGCTCTGAAATCCCGGCTCCCTCTCCAGGGCTGTCCTGTCTGCGGCAGCTCCCCTACGAGCCTGTGCCAGCAGGAGGGAAACAAGCAGCCAAATGCTGCCAGGAGAGAGCTCCAGCATGCAAGGGATGGAAACAACGCGGTCTGAACCAGAGGGTGAGAAAAAATAATTATACATGGGGTACCCAAGCCACGCACCATCTCCGCTTTGGGCAGGTTGCCCAGTTTGAAAGGCACAGCCAGTCTAAAGAGCAGAAGGATAAAGCAAGTTGGACCAGTTTGGATCCCCACCCAAGCACCCCGTTCCCCCGCAGGCCGGGGGGGACTCTCCCAGGACACCCACCGATAATGCAGAGCCCTTCCCGAGCTCGCGTGATGCCCACGTTGACCTGGTTTGGGTCGGTGACAAACCCCAGGTACTTCTTCTGCCAGCTCTTCGTGGGCTTATTGTCAATCTCTGAGCGGGGGCAGGAGCGTACGGTCGACAGGATCACATATCGCCACTCGCTTCCTAGAAAGCGGAATCGAACCAGATTTTTTAGAAGGAAGCATCTGGCCACCCCTCCACCCCACCAGATGCTCATGACCCACAGGACTGCAGCCACCCTTTGGGTTTCTCCAGCTTTGGGCACCTCCAAAGCTCTTTAACACCCCCTCAGACATCCTCCCCCTTCCTGCCTTCAGCACTCCCACCCTGCATCACTCCAGAGCTTTCCAACGGATTTATTACAACCACACACCACCCAGCAATCTGGCCCAGGGA